TTCCGAGGCCAATTCTTCAGACAGGGATTGGACTGGACTGTGGGACATAAAGTGATACTTGTGAAGAATGTGCCTCTTAGTCAAGTAGAAGGCAGAGAGAGTTAGGAGCTGGTTCAATGTTCATGGGGAATCAGGGGCGGAGGGTAGGAGTGCGCTGTCGCAGAATGGGGTGAGCAGTTGGGGTCTCATAACAATGTATGTAAAAAAAAAAATTTCTGTATGGGAGACTAACTTGAAATGTGAACTTCATTTAATTACAACAATAAAAAAAGGAAAAAAATAAATTGAACTTCAGATGAAGGCTTGCAGAACAAACGAGTTTCTCATTAAACAATTAGTACATATATTGTTTTATGGCTTTGGTTAACAATCCCATGACATGTCAGTACTCTCCGTTCTCGACCTTGGGTTCCCTATTACCAGCTTTCCTGTCCCCTCCTGCTTCTAGTCCTTACCCCTGGGCTGGTATGCCCCTTTAGTCTCATTTTGTCCTATAGGTCTGTCTAAACTTTGTCTAAAAGGTGAACCTTCAGAATGACTTCATTATACTGGGCTCAAAGGGTGTCCGGGGGCCATACTCTCAAGGTTTCTCCAGTCTCTATCAAGCCAATAAGTTTGGTCTTTTTTTTTGAGTTAGAATTTTGTTCTACATTTTTCTCCTGCTCTGTCTGTGACCCTCTATTGTGATCCCTGTCAGAGCAGTCAGTGGTGGTAGCCGGGCACCATCTCATTGTACTGAACTTAGTCTGGTGGAGGTCATAGTAGCTGTGGTCTATTAGTCCTTTGGACTAATCTTTCCCTTGTGTCTGTAGTTTTCATTTTGCCTTGCTCCTGAAGGACTGAGACCAGCGGAGTATCTTAGATGGCTGCTCACAGGCTTTTAAGACCCCAGACACTACTCACCAAAGTAGAATGTAGAACATTTTCTTTATAAACTATGTTATGCCAATTGAGCTAGATGTTCTCTGAGACCATGGTCCCCATAGCCCTCAGCCCAGCAATTCCGTCCCTACAGGGGTTTGGATTTGTCCATGGAGCTTCCATGACCTTACCCTGAACAAGTTGTGCTGGCTTCCCCAGTATTGTGTACTGTCTTACCCTTCACCATAGTTACCACTTACCAATCGTCTATTTAGTGTTTTTCCACCCCACCCCTCCTCTCCCTCATAACAATCAAAGATTGTTTCTTTCCATGTGTAAACCCTTTAATGAATTTTTACAGTAGTGGTCTCATACAATATTTGTCCTTTTGTGATTGACTTATTTCACTCAGCATAATGCCCTCCAGATTCATCCATGTTGTGAGATGATTCACAGATTCATCATTGTTCTTTATCATTGCATAGTATTCCATTGTGTGTATGTACCATAGTTTGTTCATCCATTCATCTGTTGATGGGCATCTAGGCTGTTTCCATCGTTTTGCTATTGTGAACAATGCTGCAATGACCATAGGTGTGCACGTTTATTCGTGTGATGGCTCTTATTTCTCTAGGATATATTCTTAAGAGTGGGATTGCTGGATCATGTGATATTTCTATTTCTAGCTTTCTAAAGAAGCACCATACTGTTTTCCAAAATGGTTGTACCATTTTGCATTCCCACTAGCAATGCATAAGAGTTCCCATCTCCCCACAGCCTCTCCAACATGTTATTTTCTGATTCATGCCATTAATGCCAGGATGAGAAAGCATCTCCTTGTGATTTTGATTTGTATTTCCCTAACGGCTAGTGATCTTGAGCATTTCCTTATGTGTCTGTCAGCCACTTGAATGTCTTCTTTGGTGAAGTGTCTGTTCATTTCTTATGCCCATTTTTTAATTGGATTGTCTTTTTGTGGTAGAGGTGTTGGATTTTCCTGTAGATTTTCGAGATTAGACCTTTGTTGGATTTGTAATAGCCAAAAAATTTTTCCTAGTCTGTAGGTTCTCTTTTTACTCTTTTGGTGAAGTCTTTTGATGAGCTTAAGTGTTTAATTTTCAGAAAATCCCAGTTATCTAGTTTATCTTCTGGAGTTTGTATGTTGTTAGTTATGGTTTGTATCCTGTTAATGCCGTGTATTAGGATCTCTAGCGTTGATCCTATTTTTTCTTTTATGATCTTTATAGTTTTTGGCTTTATATTTAGGTCTTTGATCCATTTTGAATTAGTTTTTGTCTATGGTGTGAGGTATGCATCCTGTATCATTTTTTTGGCAGATGGACATCCAATTTTGCTAGCACCATTTGTTAAAAAAAGATTGTCTATTCCCCCATTTGATGGACTTTGGGCCCTTGTCAAAGATCAGGTGACAGTAAGGTGGATGGATTTACTTCTGGGTTCTTGATTCTGTTCCATTGGTCAATGTATCTGTCATTGCACCAGTACCAGGGTGTTTTGACTACTGTAGCTGTATAGTAGGTTCTGAGTTCAGGTAGTGCGAGTCCTCCTACTTTATTCTTCCTCTTCAATAATGTTTCACTTATCCGGGGCCTCTTCCCTTTCCACACAGATGATTAGTTTTTCCATCTCTTTAAAGAATGTTGTTGGTATTTGGATTGGGATTGCATTGTCTTTGTAGATTGCTTTAGACTGAATTATCATTTTCCCAATGTTGAGTTTACCTATCCTTGAGCATGGTATGTTTTTACATTTATGTAGGTCTCTCATGATTTCTTACAGTAGTGTTTTGTAGTTTTCTTTGTATGGTTCTTTTACCTTCCTGGTTAGATTTATTTCTAAGTATTTTATTTTTTTAGGGGCTGTTATAAATGGTATAGTTTTCCTGATTTCCTTTTCGTCATTCTCTTTGTTGGTGTATAGGAATCCAATTGATTTTTGTGTTTATCTTGTATCCTGCTACTCTACTGAATCTATTAGTTCTAGTAGTTTTCTTATGCAGTCTTTTGGGTTTTCCATATATAGTATCATATCATCTGCAAATAGAGTTTTACTTCTTCATTGCCAATTTGGATGCCCTTTCTTTTTCTTGCCTCATTGCTCTAGCTAGGACTTCTAGCACAATGTTAAGTAGGAGTTAACCACTTACTTTTGAGGAGAGGAATGGGAATGGAGTCCACAAAAAAGGAGAACCCCTTTCCCCATGGAGTACTTTATACCTTATAAGATGCTTACGAAATTCTGGCATCCTTTTCCCATTACTTGCAATGGCAATAATTCATTCTAACATCTACTAAATGCCCCCTCTCACACAGAAATGAGCACCTCAAAGTTTGCAATTTCAGGAAAGGAGATATGTCTAAACCCAAATAGCTATAATTAAAAGCAGTTTAAGTGTTATAACACAAAGGAAATGCTATTAGAAGGAGAATTTGCCTCCAACTAGGATTATCTAGCATCATAATCACTCAGGTCTTCTTGGAGGGTAATTAATGCTTCAAATTCACTACCTAATAAAAATAGGAGATGAGTTTGCATTTTACTGATAATATAGGAAGAGGTTTAGATACTATATCTTTGAAGGGGAACACCAGATATTCCCCTAAAATAAATCACCAAGGTCTGCTGACTTGTTTACTTGGCAGATATACTATACCCCAGAAGTAAAAACCAACAATATTTCTAAAAAATAAAAATAATAAGCATTTTGATTACCACAGGATTAAACTCAGATGAAACAACAGGACTTACTTAGGCATCTGAATTATAATTTTAGGCCCTTCCTCCTCTTCCCCAGCCAACCCAATTGTCATGCTGATTTTTAATAAAGATAAAATGATTTCAAAGCTTGGATATGAGGTTTAAATATATCTGCTAGTAGAAAATGCAATATATAAACTTACCACTTTATGAAATAATTATTGTTAAAAATCTGACAGCAGAAATAAATGAAAGGGAGATAAAGGACAGTGCAGTATATTAGGAACATGGTCTTTGGAGTCAGACAGACCTGGCTGAGAATAACGGTTTCTCCACTTAGTAGCTATATCACGTGAGTCTTTTTTTTTTTTTTTTTGGTCTGTAAAATGGAGGTATCTCATCCCTGTGAGTGGTTATAAGGATTCCATAAGACAATATATACAAAATAGCCACACAGGTTTTCAATGGTTATTAAAGGAAATATGGATATTAAGGAAAACCAGAATCCTCTAACAGACTGAGTGATTCTCTGTAAGAGGGACCAGGCTTTGGGCCAGACAGAACTAAATGGGAATGCTGCCTCTGCCACATATGGTCTTGGCTTGAGGTTCCAAGTAGAAGGGGTTCTGTTCCTACATCCATTTTCCTTCTCCAGGGTTATGTAATAGATCAGCTGGTTTAAGTAAGTTATGAACAAGGAGAATACTTGACATCTGCTTGGTAAAATGTGAACATCTTTGTGGTCAAATAGACCTGGAATTCGGTCACTTTCTAGGCATGTAATTTGGGGCAAATTAAATAATCTCTTTGACTTCTCATCATTAAAATGACTCCTTTTGCCAAAGGAAGCATACTTCAAAGACTTCAAGTTGTAAAAATTTTCTTTTTACTGAAGACTAATTTTTTTTAGATCTCTGTAATTAAAACAGCCTACAAGTCTCTAGTGTAAAGCTAGCATTTCCACCCCAGATATACTGAATCAGAATCTACAGTTTAACAAGATCTCCAGCTGATTCTTATGTATAATAAATTTTGAGAACCACTGCTCTATCAGTGGTTCTCAGAATTGGTCCCTAACCAACAGCATTAGCATGCCTGGGAACTTGTTAGAAATGCAAATTCTCAGCAGGGGTCTGAAACAGAACCAGTTGGAAGCTCTGGTGTAAAGTAAGGTTCCTTCATAATGGGAAGAAACAGAGTAACACTGTCTTAGAACTTTTCATAACAGATATGCAATACCTGTATTATAGAGCAAGAGATTTATAACATTCCAAAAAACACAACTATGAAAACGCAGTTTTGTTCTTGTATGACTCTAACAGCATTCCCATCATACAGCCAGGAAGTAGAATAAGCCCTCAAGAAAAAAAGGCAAAAATTCAAGTACTTCTCCAACCACAATTATTTTTTAATCTATGAAATAGAATTTCCTTACAAATTAAGTAGTTTTTACAGGAGTGACATATTTATTATGGATGGGATCTGTTTATTGAGTGTTGTCAGAAAGAAGCTGGGCTGTTATTTTTCCAGAAATTGAAAAAAAGTACCATCATTAAGATAAGGAAGAGAAAGATTTGTATCCATCTTTTTGGGACATGTAAGGTGATAGTGAAGTCTCACAGTTGGAGAATTTGTGGATATTGGTGGAGGAATTGGAAATGCTTTCTAGTAAGCGGGTAATCCCTCTTCCCCGAACACTGTTGTTCTGGCCAGAAATTTTCACCCCAGATGGGTAGTCACCTAGGATATTGAAAATACAAGAAAAGATATATTAGCAATTTTTTTGTAGTTTTATTACAAAGTGATCTCTTAATTAACTGTAGACATGATCACTAAAAAAGCCATAATTAACTGGATCTTGAAGAAGGGATTCTTAAAGGTAAACAGACTAGTTAGACAAGAACATTTTTGTTTTTAGATCGGGCCAGGACTTATTTAGAACTGGAAACCTTAAATGAAATTCTTTATTCACTACGTGAAATTTTATGTCACTAGTTTTTAAACTTCATCACCCAAAAGACATCATCACAACAAAACTATAAAACTATAGCTGATACCAGAAAAACCAGGTTTTCTTTTACATGCCCTGAACAAGTCTAAGGAATAAGCTAAACTGTATCCAAGTGACACACTAAAACGTGCCCATTCAAATGTTTAAGGTACTAATGTCACGTAAAACTTCCCAATTCAACAAGCTCTTTATATCCTAAACCTAATTTAGAAGTACCACACACCCTGGGATCTTAAAAAGCTTTAAGGCCCTAACCTCCCTGAGATGCCTTCTTATAAGATGCTTACCAGTGGGTGTGTTTGATCTTTGTTCCTGACTAGAAGAGTTGAAATGAGGAAATCCTGCATTCTCAACCCTTAGCTTCTGTAAGAAACAAAAAGATACCAGTAAAAAAAAAAATGTTTATTTCTTATTATCAGAGGCTCTACTTCAATTTCAAATTACTCGTTAAAAAAGGCAAACTAACGAGGGCTGTGGGGACCATGGTCTCAGGGAACATCTAGCTCAACTGGCATAACACAGATTATAAAGACAATGTTCTACATTCTACCTTGGTGAGTAGCATCTGGGATCTTGAAAGCCTGTGAGCAGCCATCTAAGATACTCCACTGGTCCCACCCCTTCAGGAGCAAGGGAGAATGAAGAGAACAGGATACAACGAAAAGATTAGTCTGAAGGACTAATGGACCACAGCTACCAAGACCTCCACCAGACTGAATCCAGTACAGCTAGATGGTGCCCGGCTACCACCACTGACTGCTCTGACCAGGACCACAATAGAGGGTTTTGGACAGAGTTGGAGAAGGATGTAGAACAAAATTCTAACACATGAAAGACCAGATTTACTGGCCTGAAAGAGACTGGAGAAACCCCAAGAGTATGGCCCCCAGACACCCTTTTAGCTCAGTGGTGAAGTTGCTTCCGAGGTTCACCGTTCAGCCGGGGTTTGGACAGCCCCGTAAAACAAAACGGGACTAATGAGGCACAGCAGACCAGGGACAAGGACTAGAAGGCAGAAGGGGACAGGAAAGCTAGTGATAGGGAACCCAAGGTTGAGTGAGGACAATGCTGACATGTAGGAGGGTCGTTAACCATTATCATAGGGCAACATGTGTACTAACTGTTTAATGAGAAACTATTTTGTTCAGTAAACCTTCATCTAAACTTAGAATAGCAGTACAACCGGAAGAATGTAATCGATGTCACTGAACTGTGCATGTAGAAATTTTTGAAATGGTGTATCTTTGGCTATGTATATTTTTCACCAAAAAAAAAAAAAAGGTCAAGAAGGGTGAGGGTTGACATGTCATGGGGTTGTTAACCAATGTCATAAGACAATATGTGTACTGTTTAATGAGAAACTATTTGTTCTGTAAACCTTCACCTAAAGTACAATTAAAAAAATAATAAAAAAATGCAAACTAACACCTAAATACTTTCTCAATGTCTGATCAACTATAAATTTTACAGATAAGCAATCTGCAATATACAAGGAACTTGCTTAAGTCACTTGTTATTTCATTGTCCTTTTCACTCAGCTTAAATGTTGCTTCCATCTCCATAGCGGAGATAGTCACAACAGAAGCCTGGCTTAAACTGTTACTTTCTAATGGCCTGGGAGGTTAATAACACAGACAATAAAGTATATTGGAAAATAGGTTTTGGAGTCAGACAGCCTGGGTTAAAATCCTCACTCTATCACCAAGTTACACTCTTGTTAAGCCTTGACATATCACCTATAAAAATGGGATATTTACACACAGCAATAACAACAGCATTAGCTGTCTTTATTCAATGCTTACTAGGTGCCAAGCACTATTCTAAGTGATTGTTAGAGATTAATTTATTTAATATTCATAACCCTTGAGAAGGGGACTATTATTTCTACTAAGGAACAGAGATTAAGCACTTTCCCAAGGATCACAACTAGTATGAGTGGAGCCAGTTATGTGAACACATGCAGGCAGGCTCCAGAGCCCGTGCTTTTCATCACTAATAAAGTGAAACTGTATACAAACCACCTGTCACTGAATGCAATCAATACTCTATTCATTCACTCAATATTTACTTAATGGTACAAATGTCAGGCTCTGTTTTAAGCAGTGGAAAAAAAAACAGTAAAATAATCCTCATGGAGCTGACGTTCTAGTCACAAAAGAAACAGTAAACAAAATAAATTACTAGGTAAAGTAGTTATTATGTTAGAGAAGTACCAAGGAGAAAAATAGGGTAAGTGTTTTCAATACAACATCCAGAAAGTCCCCACTGAGCAGAGGACGTTCGGGCAGAGATCTAGGCAGAGAGCAAGGTAAGGGAACAAGTCATAAAGGTATCTAGGAGAACAATGTTTCAGTCAATGTAAGAAGCTCTGGAGCTTAGTATGCTTGACCTGTTCTAGAAAAAGCAAGGAGGCTCATGGGGCTGTGATGTAGTGAGCAGGTGGCAGAGTGGTAGGAGACCAGGTCAGAGAGGCAGTGAAGGGTCAAATCACGAAGAGCCTTATAAGCCATTGTGAGGAATCTGGCTTTTACTTGAAGTGAGATTAGAAGTTTGGAAGTTTGAACAGAGGAGTCATTTACCTGATTCAGGTTTTAACAGGATCACATTTGCTGCTATGCTGGAAAGAGACTGTAGGGAGTCAGGGAGGAAACAAGGAGGCTACTATTACAGACTCAACTGTGTTCCCCAGGAACGTGTTTTGTAGTCCTAACCCCTGTACCTGTAAATATGACCCTGTTTGGAAACAGGGTTGTTAATGAAGTCTTACCAGAGTAGGGTGTGTCCTAAGCCTTATCACTTCTAAGTGGTATCTTATAAAAAGAGCAGAATAGTCACAGAGACACACACAGAAGACACACGCCACCTGAGGGCCTGTCTACAAGCAAAAGAATGCCAAGGATTGCCGCCAGACACCAGAAACTAGGAGAAAGGCTACGAAAGGAATCTGTAAGGATGAGAGTCTGATTTAGACTTATGGCCACCAGAACTATGAGAAAATAAATTTCTGTTCTTTAAAGCCACCCACTTGTGGTATTTTTTTGTTACGGCAGCACTAGGTAACTAAGATACTACCTAAGAGAGCTACTGCAATAATCATGGTAGCCTGAACCAGGGTGACAACAGTGGAGATGGAGGTGGTGAAAACTGTTGAATCCTGTACATAGTTCTGAAGGCAGACTGTGAGAAAAATATGTAAGGGATGATTGCCAAGATTTTGGGCCTAAGCAGTGGAAGAACAGAACTGCCATTTAAAGAACTGGGGAAGAGCAAGAGAAGAAGTGGTTTTTTTTTGAGGGAATATCAGGAGTCGTGCTTTGGAAATGATAATTTTGAAATGCCTATTAGATATCCAACTGGAGATGTCAAGTAGTTGAATATACAAAATGGATTTTAATGGCGAAGGTCTGGCTCAGAGGTATACATTTAAGAGTCATCAAGTATAGTGGTCTATAAAACCATGGGAAAGGATCATTAGGGAGTGTGTATATGTAGAGAAGAGAAAACGTCTAAGAGCCGTGACATTCCAGCACTTCAAGGCTGAGGAGACAAGAAGGAAACAAAGAAAACTAGGAGTTATGGCCAATGAGACAGTAAGAAAACCAGGAAGATAAGCCATCCTGGAAACCAAATGTAAAACATATTTCAAGGATAAACCGATGGTCAATTGGTCAATGCTGCTGCTAGGTCAAGTATAAAGAGGTCTTACCATCAGATTTAGCAACGTGGAAGTAATCTGGCTCCCATGACATTAACTATTTCAGTGGTGTTGTGACGGCAAAAACCTCCCTGGAATGAGTTCAAGATACAATGGGAGAAGAGAACTGGACAATAGTGAGGACTCTTTTGAAGAGTACTGCTGTAAAGGAGAACAGAACAGGGTAGTCTTCAGAGGGGAATTACAGGGTCAAAAGAGGGTTTGCTTTTTTTTTTTTGTCTTTGGAGACAAGATGATAGCATGTTTGCTGCTGATGCAAATGATTCAGAAGAGAGAAAAACCCTGATGGTGCAGGGGAATTATCTGAGTCATGTCCTTAAGTAGGTAAAAGAATGATATAAACAGATCAGTCTTAGATAGGAGCAGACGATTCATTAAAACAGGAGTAAAAGCAGAGCATATGCTTATAGATGCAGATAGATATGGTGGTAGGAACATGTGGAAAATCTCTCCTAGTTGCTTTTATCCTCTCAGAGAAAGGAGGCAAGGGCATTAGCTACAGCAAGGGTGAAAGATGAGGTGATGGAAGTCTGAAGAGAAAAAAAGTGTGAAATAGCTGTCTAAAAAAGTGGGAGATTAATCAGACTAGACAAACGGATGACCGCCAGGCAATGCTAAGGGCCCACCTGACGTTGGTGGTGATTAGTATTTAGTAAGACTAGTCAGCATGGAAGTCTCTTTCCAGCCTCATTTATAAGGTAAATAAGGTATAAGAAGAGTAGGTGGGGAGTTGGATTTAACCAGGGCTACGTCAACCAAGAACGATGAAGAAAAAGAGGGGTAATGGAGTTGAGGGTGAGCACAAGCGAGTGGAAATGATAGACCAAGGAATCTAAGCTGGAAAGGAAAAGGATGAGGGACGGGGGTAGAGAACAGGACATGAGGCTGCAGCACCGCCCATGTGTGAATTGTGCCCTTGCAGTTGTGTAATGCCATGGCCCTGTACAGGAGTGTAAAACAGTGGAAGCATAAATGAATTGTAGGTCCCAGTCGGGGTTAAAGAATTGTTGGCATCGGGGTACTACAGCAAGACAGTGTTAGTCAGAGAGCAGGATGCTTGAAATTGAGATTATGGGGGAGATGTCATTGGGTTCTAGGATATGATCATGGGAGTATGGGGAAACAGGATCACTTGAAGAGAAGTCAAGGAACTGAAAGGGGTCGGGCAGTTGAAGATTTATCTATGGGGAAACTGAAATCGAGAATTCTAACAGAAATACTGTTACAGCAACACTGAGCAATGAGCTCAAAGAATGGAGAGGGCCAACTCAGTGGTCTACTGACTCAAAAAAGAGGTCATCAGGTAATACAGCCTGGATGGCATGTGATTTGAAGTCTAGGAATTTTACAGCGGAAGTAGGAAGAAGTCTGGAAGCTGCAACATTAAACAAGGACAATTACCTCAAATCTAGGCTCATGTCAAATGACTGTGAAAAACAATGTCACTCTGAAAAGGGCTAAGAGGGAAGCAGTGTCCTTACAGGGAAGCCAAGTTTCAGTTAGACCTTTCCAAAAAGAGGCTGAAGATATCTGAGATTTAGCTGATGACTGAGGTTGAGAAGATCCGCTAGGTTTTTTTCAGGAGTTGGGGAAGGCTGGGACATGGGATTAGGCCATAAAAGAGGAGTATGGGGAAAAAAAGGGAAGA